GAATTACGTATGGCATCACCAAGCTAAAATCTACTAAAAATATAGGTATGTAGTGACATGATAACTTTAGATACTTAAGTTATTGAAGTTCCTTCACAAATAATTTATTTACCAATCGTCGGGCGCACTATTAATCACATAAAATTACTAATAGTTAACTAGTACGGAGAATCAGTCAACTTTGGTGGAAAAGTCATAAAGATAACCCACCTGAAAAAGAAAGACGGAATTCCATGTGTGATGACTTCTGTAATACCTTCAGGAAAGCCATGTGGCATTACATATGGTTTCAAGTATGGCATTACATAAGGTTTTAGCTTGGTAATGCCATATGTAATTCCATTTGAAAAAACACATAGAATTACAAATTGGAAAAAGGAAAAAAATTTCGTCATCTAGAAATAACTGCAGAATACTGTAATGTGTCATTTACTGTGAACAAATACTGTTACCATCTGGATGATAACTCAAAAACAAGAGGATTCAAGTTATATTGCAGGAAGGAAAAAAAAAATTGAAAAATTAAATTTTTTTCTATAGAAGTAAAATCAGCTGAACCCCCTTGTTTTGGAGTTATCATCCCGATGGTAAGACAAATTGCTAACTGCAAATAATTTATCATGGTATTTTGCAGTTATTTCGAGATGATAGAAATTTTTTCTTTTTCCAATTAGTAATTCCATGTGTTTTTCCATATGGAATCACCAAGCTAAAACCCTTTGTGTAATGCCATATGTAAAACCATGTGTAATGCCTTATGGCTTTCCTGAAAGTTTTACAGAAGTAATTCTACATAGAATTCCGACATTTTTTTTCAGGTGGGCAATGCACGCGCTTTCTTTTAAGCCTTTCCTTGTTTTTGTAGGACTTGCTACTCAAGCAAATCATACAATTGAAATTAGGGGGCAGCCCCCAAGTAATTGTTATTTATAATTAAAAAATAAGGCAACGCGCAAAAAAGTTGAGTTCGCTAATTTGTTGTATTTTTTACGCGCAATCTAATGGTGTACTTTATTTTGGTATTTATAAACTCTGGGGGCTAAATTTATACAGCTGNTTGTTATTTATAATTAAAAAATAAGGCAACGCGCAAAAAAGTTGAGTTCGCTAATTTGTTGTATTTTTTACGCGCAATCTAATGGTGTAATTTATTTTGGTATTTATAAACTCTGGGGGCCAAACTTATACAGCTCCAGGCAGCGTGGGCAGAGCCTGGCCACAGTTTACACAGATGCATTAGTTGTGACCAGAGAGATAAGTAGGGAGATTGCCAGTGCCTATGTTAAAAAGTGTGCCGATGTTTCGGCGCTGATTTGAGCGCCAATCCATCGTAGCCAGCAGAGAAACCATGCACACGTTTTCTATTGGCTGGCGGCTTGTTGGCTCGGCTTGCGGGGAGAGGTAAGGCGAGATGAATGAGTGAGACATGAGAATCTAAATGGGTGCATCGGTGATGGAGAGAGGAGGAGTTAAACCTATATGTATATGCATGCAACGGGCTATATATTTATAGCTGTAGTTGTACACTACTAATACGGAAAAAAGCTGCGCGTATTACTTTTCTCGCTTTTCTTCCCTGAAAGAAAGATAAGCTTTTTAAATGCAGTTGATCATTCGTTTAACTATAATAAACAAAAACATAATTGTCAGGTTATTAGTAATTTTTTTTTTCATTTTTCAAAAAATGACAAGCTCAACGCAATTAACATATTATTATGCTTTATTAATAAACGAGCGCCTTTATTCCAATAATCCGGTGCGCTCAATCGTTCTTCACTTTTACGATAAGTGAAATTATTGAATAATAAATAAAGGCATTCACCATAACGACACAGTACGCTCAAATATTTTTTGTGCTCAGTAATATTATTTACTAATATACTGAACGCATTCATCCAAACGCCCCATTGCGCTGATATCTTTATTATTCAATTAATTTATTCTTTTTCACCATTAATACATAGTTTAACGGCAGTAATGCGATAAAGATTAAATTAAATCTTAAGCTTCGAAACTTTACGATAAACTTATGTAACTTTTAGTCTCTTCTGACCATGTGCTTCGATAGCTCAGGTGGCTAGAGCGTGAGCGTGGAATTTCGTTTGGCGGCTGCGGGTTCTAATCTCACTCGGAGCAAATTTTTTTTTTATTATTACAACATTACTATAAATGTTTAACACTTCTTTTTCATGATTACTTACGTATTTTGTTTTACCAGTGACCAAAAACTTATTTTTAAATTACTTTTCATGAAAAAGTAATTATAAAAAAATAAAGTCATTACAGCTTTGTTTGTGGTAATACCTGTAATGATTTATTATGAAAAAATCCATGCTCTGTCTGTAGTTTTTCCAGGCTTGAGACCGGCACACTATATTAGGCCACATTACGCGCGCATTTTTTTTTTTTTTTTTTTTTATTTTTTTTTTTTTTTT